AGCAGTTTAAATCCGGCACTCAGAAACTGCCACCTATTTGGATTCGATCGAAAATAATTAGAATGTGGAGGTGGTTAGATGGTTTTATATTCCGAAAAAATACGTGTACTCTGATTGTGTGCATTATAAAGCAAAACTAACCCGTTCATTCTGACGCATCTATTCTATTCTTCCACAGTGGCAGATCTCGGCACCGAGTTTATCAGATTATTAATACACACTTTCAGTGGATCTTGTGCTAAGATTTCTACTATGTTGTCATCATATCTGCTTTGAAACGTTACGAATTCGGAAAGGCCTCAAAAACACCGTTTCCGATCACGTTATACGATTGAGACTTCGCATTTGACTCACAGTTACTTGTGAGTAGTGTGTGTGTGGGATAATTATTTTTTGTTGATTTGACCTGACTATCCTTTGGACTTTACATTCACTCACAATCCTCAGTTCATCGATTCAATCACACACTCGGAAGCACTAGACTCGAGTTTTGTTCTTATTTGATCTCATCCACCAGCTCATGCCATGGCTGGACCCAGTTGCCAACTCATGCTTGTCCAGGTGTCGTCTTCAGTGATAGTCAGTTAATTTTAGCCCGACAGCAATGAATGGAGACATACAGTTAACTCCAATCGAAAGCCTCCCACTAAGTCAGGACTTCCATGCAGGCACGGACTGATGCTTAACGAACCTACAAGGCTGGATTGATATTTCACATTCGACTCACATTTACTTGTGAAGTCCGAAGAATCGTCAGTTCAAATCAATAAAAAACAAATAAGACTCACTTAGATGTCTACGCGACAGCCTAATTTATTTCCTTTGCAGTGTTTTACGTTTCTGAAAAATATGTATTTTTGTGCAGTTTTCTCCGCAAAAGCTACCTCCCGGATATGAAAATCGCATTATTCATTCACGCACCAGCGTCGTGAGGCCAGAATGGTTATGACCTTGATAGCAGCAGACAACGTGGAGATGAAAAAAGCCCCAGTTGCACAATAAAAGAGAATAAACATTTGTCTTGAATATCTTGTCCAGTGACATGCAACCGCTTCTATGGTAATATGCCACCTTCCACAACACTTGTCAGAAGTGCTAATTAATCACGCATGTCGAGGGCTCGAAAAATGACGCCTGTTTCTTAGGGCACAATTGGACTGCGAAAGGAAAACAGGCCGAGGTGGGGACGAAGATTGTATGGTTCTAAAATTTATATAGTTTTCTATAACATTCGATGGGATGTAACAATGTCCTAATGTTGTGAGAAACTACTCACATTTTTGAGTAGTTTGCAAATAAGCGTGATTTGTGGGTTTTTTCAACGGTCAAAAATGAACAAGATCTGTTGGAGCAAATCACTTCTGTTCAGCATGGTTATTACAAGAATGCGCATCTACTGATGAACTATACCAATAACAATCCTTGACCAGGGACCGCCTCGTGGAATTATATCACTACTAATTGTGGTACACATTCCAGTTTATTGATATCAATGCACATTTTTTAAAGACAGAAAATCAATGGAGTTTAATTTATGTTACACCTTGGTACATCCTATTATCACTTGGCATTTTGAGCTTCCTTCACGGGGATGGATGTGGTATAATCCTCCTAAGACAAGATACGTATGTGATAGTATCCAATGACGTTGTTCTCTCTATTACATGAATACTTCATAAAAGGTACGATTTCTGGATCTTAACAATGGTTGGAAGTGCATCCGTTGTGGGATGATAAAACTATAAGAACTTGTTTATAAACATAATTCTTAGGCATGACAAACGTATTGTACTTTCAATTTGTTAGGACCCTATTTCCTTTTCTTTATTTTTCAGATTTTGGTCAAGTCGGTTTGCACGGAGTTCACCGAGTTCCCAATCCAATCGCATTTGTCAGTTTTCTGCAAAGCATGCCATATCTCGGTAGTTAGAACCACCGTCGAAGTGACTAACCTATTTCCGTCTTTAATACAGGGAAAAGGTTTTGGATTGAATTCAAATCAGAGCAGTATCTAGGAAAAGTGTGGCTAGTTGCGTTTGTATTTTGAGAATGACGATAACCGAAAACTGGTTTCGTCAGTGCAAAACAATTTAGCATTTAGGCAGTAGAGATGTCTGACAGGATGTCCCTTGACTCGTGTTCTCACAGCTAGGGACGATACAAGACTTTTACGGCGATGGTCGAGGGCGCAGGAATGACGATAGGGTGGTGATACGAACGGGCAACGGGGTGGCGAGGGAACACTGAAAGAGACGCACCCTCCTTGGGGCGGGGTTAAATGTAAACGTAAAGAAGACAAAACGCCATGAACCAAAAAGGTTCAGTTAGATACAAGCAGTCACGATTAAATATTACTGGTACAACTGCTAAGCGTTACACGCTCAACACCTGCTCTGCATTGGCTAACCTCTGCTACGATCCACATTAGGCCTTCATTTGACCAAAGGCAACATGAGAGAAGTGCGATTAATCCACCCGGATTATGTTCCACATCGGTTGTTCGCAGCTTTTACACGCTATTAACGAATTTGTCCATAATCTTGCTTCCATGTGGTTGGTCTACTTGCTCTGTGTTTGTATTTTGATGGGGAATTTCGGTTGAATATACGATAAAATGAGCTAGGTTTACATCGAAGCGTTTGTGCAAGGAATTAAGACACCAAATTTATGAGTCTTTCGATATACAAGTATGGTATTGACTAAGTGAAATATATTTATAAATTTAAGATTGTTTCACCCGAGTTCGTTCAATACCTGGGATATATTGTAATTCTGAACGGTTTTCCAATTTAATTAGAAAGTCACATAATTCGTTCGTGGATTATTTTTGTGATACCAATACAAATATAATTGATCTGTTTTAAGATTCATTTTTTACCTTTACCCGGCAATCCTTTCAGAGCTGTTTTGGGCGATTCCTGTTGAGAATCAATCAATTAATTTTTTTCTTGTCCGATCTACCACCACGCACACCCTTTAACTGGATGGGCTATAATCCTGTGTTGTCACATCTGATGGAATTTATCATTTTTATAGCTTTTATTCGTCGATATACAAGATCGGAATTACTTTTATGTAAACACCCTCACGAATTTATACAAAGATTTGATTCAAATACACTTAGTTCTGTTTTGTATTTCGGAATTCTCACAAAAAGAAATACAACCGAGTGATCGGGTCGCAGGTTGCTCTGAAGTGCACCCCTCTCTTCAAAAATGTCCGTCCCATCACAGCTGAGTACGAACATGGTTCGTTGTTCGCGAATATCTCGGATTTATCACTTGTTCTCCGTTCCCGGATTCACGTTCAATCTTGTCTGATTTACTCACAAGAATCTTGGCTGAATCCGCGTTTTGTTGGCACATTGGTGCCCATCGATGGCTTTAATCTGTACCAGTAGGACAAAGTCTCACGCGGCAGGAAAACCGACGGTGGTGTGGCTACCCACGTGAACACTTCGTGGTGTGACACGCCAGATACTATTTACTCTAGTAACGGTAATAATTGTTTATCTCTTCATTGTTGCCCTAAATTCTTCCGACATAGAAATACCTTGAAATCGAGCCTATGTATTGCTACATTTTGTACACGAAATACTTTCTCGAAATTCTTCGACTTATTTTTCCTTTTCTTGTACCACTGCTAGAGGACAACCTACACGTTATTGTGGGGTATTTTAACCGTGTCTTAACCCGACCTCTTACTTCTTTTGATCGAAACG